GTATGAAAGAGGGGAAGGTACCTAGGGATTGGCAGAGAGCTTGTATAGTCCCTTTATATAAAGGGAAAGGGGACAAAAGAGATTGTAAAAATTATAAAGGAATAAGTTTACTGAGTATACCAGGAAAAGTATACGGTAGGGTTATAATTGAAAGAATTAGAGGTAAGACAGAATGTAGGATTGCGGATGAGCAAGGAGGCTTCAGAGTGGGTAGGGGATGTGTAGATCAAGTGTTTACATTGAAGCATATATGTGAACAGTATTTAGATAAAGATAGGGAAGTTTTTATTGCATTTATGGATTTAGAAAAGGCATATGATAGAGTGGATAGAGGAGCAATGTGGCAGATGTTGCAAGTATATGGAATAGGTGGTAAGTTACTAAATGCTGTAAAGAGCTTTTATGAGGATAGTGAGGCTCAGGTTAGGGTGTGTAGAAGAGAGGGAGAATACTTCCCGGTAAAAGTAGGTCTTAGACAGGGATGTGTAATGTCACCATGGTTGTTTAATATATTTATAGATGGGGTTGTAAAAGAAGTAAATGCTAGGGTGTTCGGGAGAGGGGTGGGATTAAATTATGGGGAATCAAATTCAAAATGGGAATTGACACAGTTACATTTTGCTGATGATACTGTACTTATGGGAGATTCTAAAGAAAAATTGCAAAGGTTAGTGGATGAGTTTGAGAATGTGTGTAAAGGTAGAAAGTTGAAAGTGAACATAGAAAAGAGTAAGGTGATGAGGGTATCAAATGGTTTTGATAAAGAAAAATTGGATATCAAATTGGGGAGGAGGAGTATGGAAGAAGTGAATGTTTTCAGATACTTGGGAGTTGACGTGTCGGCGGATGGATTTATGAAGGATGAGGTTAATCATAGAATTGATGAGGGAAAAAAGGTGAGTGGTGCGTTGAGGTATATGTGGAGTCAAAAAACGTTATCTATGGAGGCAAAGAAGGGAATGTATGAAAGTATAGTAGTACCAACACTCTTATATAGATGTGAAGCTTGGGTGGTAAATGCAGCAGCGAGGAGACGGTTGGAGGCAGTGGAGATGTCCTGTCTAAGGGCAATGTGTGGTGTAAATATTATGCAGAAAATTTGGAGTGTGGAAATTAGGAGAAGGTGTGGAGTTAATAAAAGCATTAGTCAGAGGGCAGAAGAGGGGTTGTTGAGGTGGTTTGGTCATTTAGAGAGAATGGATCAAAGTAGAATGATATGGAAAGCATATATATCTATAGGGGAATTAAAGAGGGGTAGGGGTCGTCCTCGAAAGGGTTGGAAAGAGGGGGTAAAGGAGGTTTTTTGGGCGAGGGGCTTGGACTTCCAGCAAGCGTGCATGAGCGTGTTAGATAGGAGTGAATGGAGACGAATGGTACTTGGGACCTGACGATCTGTTGAAGTGTGAGCAGGGTAATATTTAGTGAAGGGATTCAGGGAAACCGGTTATTTTCATATAGTCGGACTTGAGTCCTGGAAATGGGAAGTACAATGCCTGCACTTTAAAGGAGGGGTTTGGGATATTGGCAGTTTGGAGGGATATGTTGTGTATCTTATACGTATATGCTTCTAAACTGTTGTATTCTGAGCACCTGTGCAAAAGCAGTGATAATGTGTGAGTGTGGTGAAAGTGTTGAATGATGATGAAAGTATTTTCTTTTTGGGGATTTTCTTTCTTTTTTGGGTCACCCTGCCTCGGTGGGAGACGGCCGACTTGTTGAAAAAAAAAATATAATAATAATACATATATAATAATAATACTTATGTAATAATAATACTTATGTAATACAGTGGACCCCCGGTTAACGATATTTTTTCATTCCAGAAGTATGTTCAGGTGCCAATACTGACCGAATTTGTTCCCATAAGGAATATTGAGAAGTAGATTAGTCCATATCAGACCCCCAAACATACACGTACAAACGCACTTACATAAATACACTTACATAATTGGTCGCATTGGGAGGTGATCGTTATGCAGGGGTCCACTGTAATAATATATAATAATAAGTGGAACAGAATTCTTCCTCTGTAAGCCATGCGTGTTGTAAGAGGTGACTAAATTGCCGGGAGCAGGGGGCTAGTAACCCCTTCTCCTGTATATATTACTAAATGTAAAAGGAGAAACTTTCATTTTTCCTTTTGGGCCACCTCGTCTCGGTGGGATACAGCCGGTGTGTTGAAAGAAAGAAAGAATATAATAATAATGTACTACATATAATAATTATAATAATAGATGGCTTCAAAAGGCTGTCACTAGGTGGCAGTGTTTACCACAACAAAGAGGAAGCGGTTGTGGCTGCCTCCAGCTGTTACATAATGCCTTATTCATTCTAGAGTATATATCATGTTTCTGTTATTTATATTGTTTGTTATGTCATATTAGATGAACTGTGATAGATAAATAAACCGTATAGATGATATTATATTGTTCAATATGTCACATTAGATGAAGTGAGATAGATAAATAAGCCGTAGAGTTGATATTAGCGAAATTATTGAAGTGGAGAATTCCATTGGAATGGATTAATTGCATTTCAATTAATTTAAATGAGGAAAATTGACTCTGCAAACGAGCAAATCCAACTGCAAGCAAGGTCATGGAACGGATTAAACTCACAAGTAGAGTTTCCACTGTATTATTATTTATTATTATTATTATTATTATTATTATTATTATTATTATTATTATTAATAATATTATTAATTAGTGTTGGCACTATACTTTTCACCTTCAGAACTCAAGTCTGACAAACCAGTTTTCCTGGTTTCCTTCATTGATGTTAATATTCTCACTCTTCAACAGCACATCAAATTCCAGAAATTGCATGTCTCCATTCAATCCAGTCTAAAATGCTCACATATGCCTACTTGATGTTAATGTCCCTCCTGTTTTAAACCTTATTCTAACAATTTCTGGGATGTATTCTGCACCCCCTTTCCATCTACTCCAGATTTATGCATACTTGCTCAACCAGTGATTCCTTACCCTATCTAAATGACAATAACATGTCAGCAATCCACCCACTTCTCTCTGAATTACACTTTCTATTCCACCACATCATCATCTAATTTCTTCACTCCTTCACTCTCAAACATGACAATTTCACTGCCTCTAGCCTCCTCCTCACTGCAACAATCGCAAGACCATATCTCACATCCATACAAGTTATGCAACAATTTTAGTCTGATACATTTACATTTACCCTGCTTTGGTGGTAGTCGGTTGGCGTGTTAAAAAAAAAAAATTAACCTTTGTACATTAATTGAAAAGTCTCTTTCTGCAGACTCCTTAACATTGCAATTAACCCTTTTTTCCTTGTCTTACTTAGATTTATCTGCAGATACATCTAGTCCCAAATGCAGTATCTAGATACATTCAGTTCCTCCATACTCCTTTCCTCTATTCTGATGCCCAGTCTTTCATTGCTTTTATCACCTTGCTCATTTCTGTGTTCATTTTCGTACGCTTTTGTAAACCTCAAGTTCCTCTGTCAACCTTTGCAGCATCTCATGTAAATTTTCCGAATACACTGTCATCAAATTTATTATCTTTTAAGCACTTGTTCTTTTTAAACCCCATTTGTAAATGCATTAAACAACCATGTTGACTTTTCACATCCTTGAATGAGGCTTGCAGTTTCTGAAGAATACTTTCTTTTGTTCTCCATGGGGAAGTGGAACAGAATTCTTTGTCTGAAAGCCATGCGTGTCATAAGAGGTGACTAAAATGCTGGGAGTGAAGGGCTAGTAACCCCTTCTCCTGTATACAGCACTAAATTTAAAAAGAGAAACTATCATTTTTCTTCTTAGATCACCCTGCCTTTGTGGGATATGACTGGTTTATTGAAAAAACAAACTTCATTATAGTTTGTATTATTATTAAGCTAAGCAAATTGGTAAAACAGCATACTTTCATGAGTGTTACCTGTATACAGTCAAATATATACATATAGTTAGGTTTAAGGAATATCACCTGCATATGGCTGCAATTTATCTTAGCACTAACATCAAGAATACTGTACTTTAATCTCAGTAATAGGTATCAGTGTGTGTTTATATATACTGAGAGAGCTGCACCCCTCAGTGTATTTACTGTGCTCAGAGTGAAATATTTGAATAATGAATATTACCCTCGTGTTGTCTCCATGCACTTCACTGATGTTAAAGAAAAGGTAAAAGATAGTCTAGTATGTTTAGAAGTTCAAGAAACTTCATTGTAGAGTATTTACAATTTTTTATTAACTATTTGTAGAGCCCCCCTCAAAGGAGGTTCCTTAACACTAGCGAGGGGCTCTTGATCTAGGGAATTGGATTTGTGCTCCGGTTCCCTGAATTGAGCTTGAATAGCTTCTATCCTCTCCCCCCATGTGCTGTATAGCCCTACCGGTTTAGCACTCCCCCATGATTATAATAATAATATGTATATAGCCTGTGAAGCATGAATTTTCCTCTTTGAACTAATGATTAAGGTAGGCAAGGGTTTAATTTTGACAGTCTTTTTCTTTTCTTGGCAGGATTAACCCTTTCAGGGTCCATGCCATAGATCTACGGCTTTACGTTGAGGGTCCAAACCGTAGATCTACACCATGAGCTCAGCTCACTCTGATAAGCTGTGAGCGGTAAATTTGGGCCTAGATATAAGAGAATACATTTATGTGGTATGTGTGCACCACATAAAACAAATCCTGCAGCACACAGTGCATAATGAGAGAAAAAAACTGAGACCGTAATTTTCGATTAAAACAGCAACTTTGCAGTGTTTTTCAAATGTATTTTTATAGCTGTATTTGCGATTTCTTGGTCGCAATTGATAGAATGGAAGACATATTATAGAAATAGAGATGATTTTGATTGGTTTTAGTACTGAAAATGGCTTGAAACTGAGCTCAAAGTAGCAGAAATGGCAAGAGTAAACAAATGACCTCACATGTCTGATACACGCCAGCTGATGGGTCTAATATACGTTCACAAATGTGCTGATATTATTTATACAATTATTACAATACTGCATGACAGTAAATCTTCTATTTTTTGGTTTGAATAAAAATTCATTACGTGAATTAAAAATCAAAATGGAATTCATTTGTAAAGCCTGAAAACATAACTAATGAACAGAGGAAATGTTAGTTTAGTGCCAGGAATGCCTGCATTGTTTATTCTGGACCCTATTTTGAAATTGGAATAATTTGAACTTTGCACTAAATTGGCCAAATTACCAGTTTCCATTCACTTTATTTTGTAGTTGAAACAGTTGAGTTGGCAATTTCTTGTGCTCAGTCGATAGAATAGAAGTAATACTAGTAAAATAGCTAAGAATTTGGTTGACTGGAATAAGGTAATTGGCCTAAAATGGGAGTCAAAGTCGGCAAAATCACCAATGCATAAGTATCGCCGACACATCAAAATTCGCAAGAGCGTAATTTCGTCAATTTTCCATCAAATTTCGTACTTTTTGTTTTATTACCTTCAGAAAAAGATTCTCTACCACTTCATAAGAAAAAATAAAATTATTTTTTGAAAATTCTTGGACACTGGTGTGCACTTGGAAATTTGGCCTCTGGACCCTGAAAGGATTAATATCTGTACTGCTTTCTAATGTAGCAGAAAAGCAAATATTAAATTCATTATATTTATTTTTGTATGTGATGCACTCTAAAATATTTTCATTTATTTTTAGGTGTAATGAAGCCCAGTTACTTTGGGTTATTATTGTGCTTGGAGTGCTCTGTACAATATTCATGTTTTCAACAGCTCTTCTTCTTGTGAAACTGTTTTACCAAAGGAAGCCAAGTATTCATAAACAAGGTAAATATAATTTTTAAGTTATGGGCCCACACTTTGAAGTGGGAGTCCATTGTATTTATCTTACCTGTTCGTCTGTAATTGCACCTACCCTTCTCTTCCTTGAATCATTGTCTCCCATATCCCAGGTACTGTATGAATTAATAATAATAGTAATAATGTGTTTAGACAAAGCATATGAAAGGCATGTAATCTGTCTTAGAAAAGGCATATGATAGGGTGGAAAGGGAAACAATGTAGCAGATGTTGCAAGTGTATGGAATAGGTGGTAGGTTTTTTCTTAAAGCAGTTTTTAAGAGGATAGTGAGGCTTAGATTAGAATATGTAGGAGAAAGGGATATTATTTTTCAGTAATGTCACTGGTTCAACATATTTATAGATGGGGTTGTAAAAGAAGTGAATATTAGGCTGTTGGGGAGAGGTGTGGGATTAAAAGATAAAGAATCCAATACAAAATGGGAGTTGTCAGTTACTTTTTGCCAATGATACTGTGCTTTTGGGAGATTTTTATGAGAAGTTATAGAGGTTAGCAGACAAATTTGGAAGAGTATGTAAAATAAGGAAATTAAAAGTGAGCATAGAAAAGAGCATGGGGATGAGGGTAACAAAAAACCTAGATAATCAAAGATTGGATATCAGATTGGAAGGAGGGAGTATGGAGGAAGTAAATGTGTTTGATTGTTTGGGAGTGAACTTGTTGGCAGACAGGTCTATGAAAGATGAAGTGAACCAGAGATTTGACGAGGGGATAAAAGATGGGTGGTGCAATGAGGCATCTATGAAAACAAAGAACATTATCCATGAAAACAAAAAGGGGATTGTATGAGAGTAAAAGTGCTCCTCAACTTCAAGTGGTTCGACTTAAGATATTTTGACTTTACAATGGTGCAAAAGCAATTAATTTGGAGATGAAACTTAACCACTTTGCCATCTGTGCCATGGAACTATGGCTTTGAGGTCACTGTCTGTGCCATAGTACTATGCCAAAATTCTAGCAGCTTCAGATTTAGTGTGAGAAGGCTCATAGGCTTACACATGTGAGAATGGGTCTTTGTGGTCAGTGTGCACAGCATTGCATTGTGGGAATGCCATCTCAGTACACTTTGTTCACCATGCCTCACAGTAGCACAAACCTCACTCCCTGTCGAATTAGGAATCTCCACTTCCCAAGTAACAGTTCTAACACAGATGGAAGTGGAAGTGAAGAGGAATTCTATGGTTTTGAAGAATTTGTGACCAAAAATTTGTGATATTGAAAATAGTGCCAAAAGCCTTGATGACCCTCAACCTTCCACCTCTGGTGCTGGTTCGTCTGGGTCATGACCATTTGTACCTTGCCATAAGCATAAGCTTATATTTTCCTATGGCCAGACCTCAGATGTGAGCAATGGTGATGACACTGATGTGGCTTTGATTTTACTGCTCTTGATTACCATTCGAGTAGCGACAGTGACGAAGAATATTCATCACTGAAGCGTTGGTTTATATGATGCTGCTTGTGGTTTGGTAGTGTGCCATATGCAATCCCAAGGGGACGGGGTACATCCTGGAGTACATCCCATGGTCCTAAACCTGAAACAGACAAGGAAAGTGACAAAGATGTGGCTACAGTTGGGATGGATAATAGATCGCACATATAAGTAGGTGGTGGTGCCATGCTGGGTGCAGCACCAGCAAAGCCCAGGCTGGAAGCCACACCACTGACTCAGCACGTCCATGACCCAGGGCATCCTCAACCAGCCACACACCACAACCACAACCAGCAACTAATGTCCGGTATCCACCAACAAACTGCATCTGGGATTGGCAGCAAAATGCAAATTTTGTGCTCAGTTCCCATCAATTTGATGATAGTCACTAGAATCCTGCCAAATTGTACCCTTAAGAACACTGCAAGTGAACCGGAATTCTTTGAAGTCTTCTTTGACAAAATTGTTGTCAGGGAAAGTAACAAGTACTTGATTATACCATGGCCAGTACAATGGTTTCACCACAGTCACGAATGACTACACCAGAGGAAGGAGACAAGTGTGGCTGAGATTTGTTTATTTTTTACCACAATAATGCATATGCCACATTTGTATAAGTATAGTATCATGTCATACTGGTCCACAGATCTCTTAATTTCTTCCCTGGCCTTCAGTAATACAGTCTCTCCTCACTTACGATGGAGTTCCATTCCTAAGACCACATTGGTAAGCAAATTCGTCACTAACAAACTTAGGAAACTATCTGCTTGACTTGGTTCTTGCCAACAAAGATTCACTAATTAATAATCTTGAGGTTAATGATGAGCTTGGGAAAGTGATCACAAATCACTTAGTTTCAATATATCGTGGAATTACCCCGATAACTGCAATCAAATCTCTGTCCCAGATTTTCGCTTGGCTGACTTCATGGGACTGAAAAATTACCTGGGTGGGCTAAATTGGAATGTCCTAACTATGAGTCAGGTAGGTGATCTTGGTTACCAATATGACATTTTTCAGAGCATAGTTCTAGCTGCCCAGACAACTTTTGTTCTGAGTAGGGAAATTAGATCTAACAAAAATGATCCCAAATGGATGAACAATAGATTGAAACATCTCATTGGTCAAAAGAGAGGCATATATAGGCATATCAAAAGGGGTTGGGCAGTTAAGAAATCAATATATTCAATTAAAGAGAGAAATAAAGAAAGGAATAAGAAAAGCAAAAAGAGATTATGAGGCTAAGGTCACAAGGGATTCAGAGACTAACCCAAAAGGGTTCTTGCAGGTATACAGAAGTAAGATTAGGGACAAGATTGGCCCACTTAAGAGTAACTCTGGTCAGATCACTGACAAGGATAAGGATATGTGTAAAATTCTCAGTACCTACTTCCTCTCAGTTTTCACCCAGGAAAATACTAGCGATACTCCTGAAATAAGAGATTATGTAGAACAGGATAATAAACTATGTACTATTGCGGTAACTAGTGACATGGTCCTCAGACAAATAGAGAAACTAAAACCTAACAAATCCCCAGGCCCTGATGAACTGTTTACAAGGGTGTTAAAGGAATGTAAAGAGGAACTTAGCATACCTTTGGCTAATCTTTTTAACATATCACTACAAACTGGTATTACAACCCAGGAGTCCCAAAGGCCTGTTATCCTGGGTGTAAAGGGAGCAAAATAAACACAGCAGAAAACTTTTGACTTATATTATCCTTCACCAATTTAGAACAGAATTTTTTTTTTTTTTTCAACAAGTCGGTCGTCTCCCACCGAGGCAGGGTCACCCAAAAAAGAAAGAAAATCCCCAAAAAGAAAATACTTTCATCATCATTCAATACTTTCACCACACTCACACATTATCACTGCTTTTGCAGAGGTGCCCAGAATACAACAGTTTAGAAGCATATACGTATAAAGATACACAACATATCCCTCCAAACTGCCAATATCCCAAACCACTCCTTTAAAGTGCAGGCATTGTACTTCCCATTTCCAGGACTCAAGTCCGACTATATGAAAATAACCGGTTTCCCTGAATCCCTTCACTAAATATTACCCTGCTCACACTCCAACAGATCGTCAGGTCCCAAGTATCATTCGTCTCCATTCACTCCTATCTAACAAGCTCATGCACGCTTGCTGGAAGTCCAAGCCCCTCGCCCACAAAACCTCCTTTACCCCCTCTTTCCAACCCTTTCGAGGATGACCCCTACCCCTCTTTCCTTCCCCTATAGATTTACATGCTTTCCATGTCATTCTAATTTGATCCATTCTCTCTAAATGACCAAACCACCTCAACAACCCCTCTTCTGCCCTCTGACTAATGCTTTTATTAACTCGACACCTCCTAATTTCCACACTCCGAATTTTCTGCATAATATCTACACCACACATTGCCCCCAGACAGGACATCTCCACTGCTTCCAACCGTCTCCTCGCTGCTGCACCTACCACCCAAGCTTCACATCCATATAAGAGTGTTGGTACTACTATACTTTCATACATTCCCTTCCCTGCCTCCATAGATAACGTTTTTTGACTCCACATATACCTCAACGCACCACTCACCTTTTTTCCCTCATCAATTCTATGATTAACCTCATCCTTCATAAATCCATCCGCCGACACGTCAACTCCCAAGTATCTGAAAACATTCACTTCTTCCATACTCCTCCTCCCCAATTTGATATCCAATTTTTCTTTATCTAAATCATTTGATACCCTCATCACCTTACTCTTTTCTATTTTCACTTTCAAACTTTCTACCTTTACACACATTCTCAAACTCATCCACTAACCTTTGCAATTTTTCTTTAGAATCTCCCATAAGCACAGTATCATCAGCAAAAAGTAACTGTGTCAATTCCCATTTGAATTTGATTCCCCATAATTTAATCCCACCCCTCTCCCGAACACCCTAGCATTTACTTCTTTTACAACCCCATCTATAAATATATTAAACAACCATGGTGACATTACACATCCCTGTCTAAGACCTACTTTTACCGGGAAGTATTCTCCCTCTCTTCTACACACCCTAACCTGAGCCTCACTATCCTCATAAAAGCTCTTTACAGCATTTAGTAACTTACCACCTATTCCATAAACTTGCAACATCTGCCACATTGCTCCTCTATCCACTCTATCATATGCCTTTTCTAAATCCATAAATGCAATAAAAACTTCCCTACCTTTATCCAAATACTGTTCACATATATGCTTCAATGTAAACACTTGATCTACACATCCCCTACCCACTCTGAAGCCTCCTTGCTCATCCGCAATTCTACATTCTGTCTTACCTCTAATTCTTTCAATTATAACCCTACCGTATACTTTTCCTGGTATACTCAGTAAACTTATTCCTCTATAATTTTTACAATCTCTTTTGTCCCCTTTCCCTTTATATAAAGGGACTATACATGCTCTCCGCCAATCCCTAGGTACCTTCCCCTCTTTCATACATTTATTAAACAAAAGTACCAACCACTCCAACACTATATCCCACCCTGCTTTTAACATTTC